AATGCTATTTTTGTGTGAAAATTTTCGATTTTATAATTGACATTTTTTACTTTAAAGTGCTATAACTTTTCAAAAAATATATGGATCAATACAATTTTTTCATGAGAAGTAGTATTTATATACATCTTTCATTGCATATACTGTTTTTTTAAATCAGACTATTTCCCTATATATGAGGGGGCTTCAAATATAAAAAATGCATATAGAAAGTAGAACTTTTTCAACATAACTTTTGAAAGTGTTCCGGAAGGTCTGACACTTTTATATATATCTTAAATTAAAGCTAATGTAATATACTTTAATTTGAAAAAAAAAAATTTGACCTCTGGACTTGTCTTCACGGCGAAAATGGCTACCGAATGCTATTTTCGTGTGAAAATTCTCGATTTTATTATTTATATTATATTTAACTTTATAATGCTATAACTTATTGAAAAGTTTATGGATCCACACAATTTTTTTATGAGAAATAATATTTTTTAATAAACCCTTTTTCATTCGACATACTTTATCTTAATCGAGATATTAATAAGGAACCAGCAGATCAAGTAGCTTTTGGAATAAAACACCAATTTTTTTAAAATTAAACACTATCTAAAGATTTGCATCGAAGCGTTTATTTTTGATAGTGATTTTAATCACTGTCAGATATCATTATACTTGATCCAACTATGCCACGTCATCACTGTGCCGCGACCCCCCTATGCTGGGTTTTTTTTTTCATAATTATTTTAAAAATTAATTTTAACTTTTTAGTTCAATGTGCTTTAAAAGCGTGTTTTTTTAGTTTTTTTAAACTATATTTATTTTGATTCAGTTGCTATACTGGATTATTAAGATTGATTGGTGAGGGAGAGTCGTGAATACTTGGTAAAATGAGGCTGATGTTAATTTTCCTCAGCGGTGAACACCATCGTGTACCAGGTGGTTTCAAATGCGAAACGACATTTTACATCTAAATTAAATGGAATCGACAATATGTCGTTATTGTTCCTAATCTATGCTTACCCCACAAAAACAACAAACGAATTACGGTTATCACATCAGTTATCAGTCTATGTATAAAAGTATTTTACGATTATAATTTTTCATCTTATAATTTATAAAAATTTTAAAGAATTAACATGTTACCTATTAATACAGCTATCTCTAGCTATATACTAAAATCCTAAGCCCCTCTAAATAATTATCTATCTATAATCTTAAAAATAGGTATATTCTTTATTCAAATTTACTAAATTAAAATTTTGCCTCACCACTTCCGAGACCCACGAGCCGCCACTGCATACTGGCCTTTTCACTTCCCCACAATATTTACGTTACCTCTACTTTTCCTTCGTTCGCACCATTTTAGAATACGGTGTGGTTGTGTGGTATCCATACTTAGCTAGCGACCAACTCCGAATTAAAAGAGTGCAAAACCGTTTTCTACCTTATGCTGCATATTTGTTTAAAATTGCTCACCTCCCGCATGATTACTCTATTATTCGGTCCACTCTTAATATCCTTACTCTTGCTTCCACGTGAGTTGACACTGATATTTATTTTATCAATGCTCTCCTTAATGATTTAATTGATGCACCAGACCTTTTGTCCTCTATATCTTTTCGTGTTCCATTCTATCTCACTAGAAATCGCTTTCTCTTTCATGTTCCCTCTCATTGCTCATCGTATAATAATAATGCTCCTTTACACAGAATGCTCCGCTCCCTTAATAATTCATAGTTTTGGTCACATTTATTTTTTTATATAATTAATTTCTCTATTAGACATTTAAACCTGATTCTAAAATTTATTCTGTTGTTGTACATTTTTCTTCACACTTTACACATATAAATATTTTA